TCAACAGCAGGCTCTATGCGCTTTATCATCATCATCATCATCATCATCATCATCATCATCATCATCATCATCATCATCATCATCATCATCATCATCATCATCATCATCATCAAAATAATAATAACTTTCACATTAGATAGCATTTGTGTGCAAGCTCTATGCGCTCTACACTCTATTATTACCCCTGACGACCTTAGTGCACTCAGAAGGGTTTCCTTGATCTGAACGAGTGGGCACATTAGGTTTGAAGTAGTTGACATGATGTCATCATCTATTGTTAAAGCAAACAATGGATGAGCAATGGGTGAGTATCGGTGCAGTGTCGAAAACATTAATGATGCGTGATTCATTACAAAAAAACAACATTGCACAACATTTTTAGAGTCTCTGTCTTCATAACTAAATGAATTGTTATGCCTCATTGATACGTGTGAGGTAGAATATGCTACCCAATTTGCACTGACGGCTGTTTCACTACACACTAAAGATGGACAACACACTCGTAATAATAATGTAAGGAATCTTGACGGAATTAGGCGCTCGTCATAATAATGAAATCAAAGAAACAGGCATTTTTCCACCGGTTTGGGAATTATTATTACATTTTTCGAATTTAAAAAAAATGGTTGAACACCTTTTATGTCCATTTAGAAACAGTTTTGAGGGGGTTGGTTTTACTACAAAACGTTGATTAAAGACACAAAAAGTGTACATTTTCAGCTTCTAAGGAATCTCTAGCTATGGAGGTCGGCATACTTTGGCGGGCATTTTCTCTCTAACTTTAGGTCTGAAACCAGGCAACCCCACCACCTTCAATCCCAAATATCTCGACTTCTATTCAAGATAGATGGATATTTTTTTTTTCGTCACAAGCAAGACAAATGAAGAGACTATAAGATTATAAAAATAATATATCCATGTACCCCAAAACTGACGAGCGCCTGATTCCACCGTGCCATGACGCATAATGTACTTATAACCAGAACCCCAGTTTGCACACAGGCAATGCCCCCTAGACCTTCCATTGCCACTATGTTTTGTCTTCGTTGAAACACATGAAGAGTAAATTAATAAACAATGATCTGAAATGAGAACTAACTTCGATCCATGCCTTCTTCTTACATCTTGCCAACATTGAGGCACAGCACAAAACACAAAAATTTCTTCAGAACATTTGGTCTACAGTTTCATAAATTTTAAAACGGTAGTCTTTTGTTAAGTCAAGGCCTGTTACAGATGTAAAATACCTCTATATTAATAAACAACATTCCCTTATAAAGCGGCCTCACATAAAATAATTACTAAAAGTGACATGTATTTGTGATAGTCCCAAGCCTACGAGGGGAAATGGTGGAATGGTATATGTGTAACACCCTATTAACACTATTAGTTTATTTAAGAGGCAGGACCTCAAAGTTTAACGTCCATCTCCGAGAGGACCAGGCCAAGTGGGATATTCGTTTAAAGTGCTTTTCCAAGGATACAATATCGGACCCAGCTCAGGCTCGAACCCCCGAACCCGCAATCTCACGATTACAAGTCCGGTAGCCTAACCACAAGGCCAACGACGCCACCAAACCTAGGAAGGGAAATGGTAAAAATGTTCGCCTTACTTTGTTCGCACGTTCAGAGAATGGATACTTGAACTTGTACTTAAATACGGATCAACTTTCCGCAAGAAAAATGTTTCGTTTGATGCCCTTTGAAATGGGCTTTAAAATAACCCAATACGTTGAGATCTAAGAGTAAAGGTGTGATCGTAATTAAATCAGGTAACAGCACAAAGAGATCGAGTACACTAACTCAGAAACATGTTCGGCTTTTCGAGAAGTGTACAGTGCCAGTAGCAGCTCATTATGTGCTCAAATACTAACAAGCTGACAAGATCGTTAGCTGACTCTAGCCGGGTACCCATTCATATCTTGTCTTGTTTCAGCGAGAAAAAAGCTGGTAAAGTGCGTTTCACAAGGACACAATGTCGGTCAACCAGCGGGATTTGAACCCATGAACTGACGCTGTACTTTGAAGAATTGTGAAATCAGCATACTAACATTACCCGTACTCCTACCATGTAATCTATACGCTGGTAGCGTACATTTTTTCATAAAAGTGAATCTCCTACAATCAACATTAACCCATTTCACATTTACATTGTAATGCGTTTCTGCGAAACCCAGGGTTGAATCGTTCAGTGGAGTGTTTTCATTTTTTCCCTTCTATATATTTTTTCTTTATTTAATGGCTGAGAGATGGTTGATTCTTCATAAGAAGAAACAAAAATAGAAATACTGAAAGACTTAAAGTTTCGTGTCTGTTTAATGGTTAAGTTCACCATTCGAGAAGTCCGTATTGTGAAAATGTTATAGTTGCAGCGTATGATCCATTACCAAATAGCACAACATTTCCAAAACCCTGCCTTGACATTTTAATAGGATACTATATCTTTACCTCAGAACTACAACGTTCCATCTGACATATTTGGTCGTTTCGAGTTACTAAGATCAATATGTCAGAAAGCAACAAAAATGCTTTATCTGCTCGATCAAAATTATAAGAATATTCGGAGTCGTTATCAAGAAATTCAAATAACTGCATTAAAAAAAGGCTTGACATGTTGTGAAACTAAAAAAAATTGATGTCAGATTTCTCAAAACTAGGTATTGAGCAGACAACTTTGTAATTCTATTTCTATAGTAGCAATATGGCCCCAACCCGGGTCAGCCCTGTCATGAAGGGTAAATTGTGTCAAAAAGGACGTAAAACATTCTCAATCATTAAACAACTGTTCCTGATGTCTGTATTGTATTTGTCTTATCTCCGACCAGCTGAACTGGACTATGGATGGTCTTTTTCGTAAAAGTTAGGTGCTTAGCTGTCGCACGCTGAAGACCTGACCTCGATTTCCATTAGGGGAAGACTTTTTTATACAGTGTCTTGGTCTTTCTCTGGGGCACTTGTACCTCTCTCAACCAGGACTGGCCCTTACCGGCAAGGCCAAAGCCCAGCTTATAAGCTGTTTTAATAACATAACATTATGTTTTGATGCTAGTGTAAAACTCCATCGTTAAAAAAAATGAAACTGACTGGACCAAATTTTCCACGATGTATATTTGGAGACAATGTGTCATGAGTAGTAGGGCGAATAATAATATTTTATTGTCACTCAGCTTTAAAACATCAATATTGCGAAGCTAGCAAAGAGAATCACTGTTAACACCAAATACCCATCAAATTCTGACTGCTATCAGACGTCTATCAGAAGTGCAGGTTTTATGGAAAAACGAATAGCAGAAAATCAAACAATGTAAAATAATACATTCATAGCTTTTTGTGTACGGACTATATTCACTCATTGTCGTGTGTGTGTGAGTGCCTTTGTGTGTGTGTTTGCGTGTGTGTGCGTGTGTGTGTGCGTGTGTTCGTATGTTCGTACGTGTGAGTTTGTGTGTGTAAGGAAGGGGGAGGGAAAAGAGAGAAAGAGAGAGTGTATGTGTATATGTGAGTGCACGTGCGTGTGTGTATATATCTGTGTATGTGAGTGTGTGCGTGCGGGTGTACGCGAGTGTGTGTGGGGGAGGGTGTGATGATAAGTACGTGTGCGTATTATGTATTTACCATGCTGCTGCCAATTTCTTAGTGTGGAGATCAGCTGATTGCTATCTCAACTTATCCATTTCTAAAATCAAAGAGGGAAAACAGAAATCAGGATTGAGATCAAGGGAAATGATAAAATGAGGTCGTTTGACCATTTGTCGCTGCAAGTAAGTGGAGTGGGTGCTACTAACCTTTGGGGAACTCCACATTGTCTGAGCCTTGCTCCCGGTTTTCTGCTGGTGCTTCTTCTGAGAACTGGCAGTACGTCACTGCAAGTAATGACGTAAGGAGTATCACACTTGTGACGTAGTTTGCAGGTTCCAGGCAAAACATGATCTGAATGAAACAGTGAATGAGATTTTTTTAGCTTCAAAAGTAGAAGGGGGAGTTGGGGAGGGGGGAGATAAAAAAAAAGCTAGAGCGAGATAGACTAGATAGAGGAATGGAGACAGAAGAGAAAGTGTGAGAGAGAGAGACAGGCAGACAGACAGATTGACAGGGATGAGTGAGGGCAGACAGACAGATAAACAGACATACAGAGAGAAGAGATAGGGATAGACAGACGGATAGACAGAAGGGGGAGGAGGAGGAGGGAGTGGAGGGACGAGTAAGTACTACTAAAAGAGTAAACGGATGACGGTATCTCAAAACAATTAAAGCTTTGGGTTTGCGACAAAAGAAGGAAATAATTGTTTCGTTGCTGGGACCAGATGGCCAACGTGATACATTGATCCTGTTTTTCAAATAGCCAAGTGGTCTTTAAATCCTTTTTTGAAACCCACACTTTGAGAAATAACGTTCTAGAGATCATTGGTAAGGTTTTGGGATCTGGCTCCGTAGTCGTTGTTGAAAGGCAAGCTTAACTAATTTCGCCCCCCAGCACATGTGGTGGAAAATACGCGTCTGTTTGTTGGTCTCTTTTTTTCTTTTTTTTCCTTAACGTTTTCTTTTTTTTTTTTTTTGCTTTTTTGGGGTCTTAATGAGTATGTCTTCTTGTTGCTTTTTTTTTTTTTAAGTTTCGCACCCCTTTCTGGAATGCCTATTAATTAATCTCATTTATATTAGACAATAGGGAACTATGGGATGTAAGAAAACAAGTAAAAATTCATTTTTTTAAAATTTCAGAATAAAGATTTTTTGTTGTTTGGGTTTTTTTCGACATTACCTAGGGTGCGGTGGCGGAGCGGTTAGTGCGCTCGTCTCCGAAGCGGAAAATCTGGGTTCGAGCCTCGGTTCGGACATGGATATTTTTCGCCCCCTACTGCCCACCCAGCAGTAATGGGTACCTGACTTAAAGTTGGGGAAGTAACGGCGGCATGGAAAGAAACTTGCCACCGAACCACAATATGCCGAAGGCTCAGGAAGTTGTCTCACTGACAAGGCAATCCCCAATGTCCGGATCGGATGTGGGAACAACCTATCTTTACTTTTTGACCTATCTACGCCAGGACGCAGCACAGTTTCTTTGACAGATAAAAATATAATATGTTCATTTTATTGCTCGTTCTTTGGCTACGTTTAGTCTAGATTTCTTCTAGTCCGAGATCTTTATCTCTTTTAATGATTCACAAATACTTGTAATTCCATTTCAGAATGAGCATGGCAATGGGCGTGATAAAGCTAACGCCAAATTCCTACAGGATAAGACGAAAATCAGCGGACAAGAACAAAAGAAATTCTGAAACCTGGTGTAACAAAGCATTACTTCGGGTCTTCCGGCCAGATAGGGCTCTTTGGGGAAAAAAAAGAAAAAAAGAATAAAGGGAAAAAAACCGGGGTTTTCGATTTATAAAACAATAGTCCGCAAAAACACCCCCCAAAGAATTCTGTGAAACCATTCGAATTGGAGCGTAAAACCTCTGAGAGAGTTCTAAACAAAACTTTAAATGTAGCACACACCTTAACAATGGTTATTCCTGTCACTTATGGGCGAAATGAGGATCTTGTACTTGTAAAGACTGAATTTGAAGTTCAGATTCTTTTTCGATAGCGTCATTATTCTGACGAAACTTTAAAGAGATCGATTCTTTAGAGGGATTTAGAATTCAAAAATCCACATTGTTGAAAATGTTGCACTCTTCTCGAGTGTATTCGTACCCGAATTGCTTCATTTTAAACGGTCTAGTAATAATAATAATAATGTTAATAATAATACTGATAATAGTGGACCTACTGATAATAAAAATATTATTAATAATTAATAATATTAATAATAATAATAAGAATGATAATATTATTATTAATAATAATAATAATAATAATAATAATAATAATAATAATAATAATAATAATAATAATAATAATAGAAATAATGTGACTGTATATGACTAGTTTATGCAAGCGACATGGGAGAGCCCAGCTCCTGACAGACCCAGCTGGAGAGCAGCAGTCACAGTGGGCAGCAAATCATAACATGACGCTTCACGAATAAGAAATACTGAAACCAAGACTGAAGCCCCAAATCTTCGCACAAATTTTAGTGGAGCTTTTAAAAAAAATAATATTTAGAATGTGGCAAACATTTTTCTGCCAGTATTGGTCTCATCGGCTACAACAGAAGCCACAGGTCATCATAACCGTTAATTATTTAAATGTCCTTATTAGCTGGAGAAATATTCTTCTTCTCTGCTGATGTGCTGGTCATCCTCAGATATTGACGGACGAGCTATTATCATTGTGAAGATTATAGTTATTAATAAAATGATTATTATTAAGCTTATGATGATGATGATTACTATAATGATGATGATGATGATGATGATGATGATGATGATGATGATGATGATGATGATGAAAATAAATAATAATAAATGGCATTTGTATAGCGCACATCCCCGCTCAACAGCAGGCTCTATGCGCTTTACACTATATTATTACCCCAGCAGACCATAGAACACTCCGAAACATTCTCAGCTTCCCGGGTAGCATACAGTGCAAGCAGCTGATTAAGCGCTCAAACACTAACAAACTGACAAGATCTTTCGCTGTCTATAGCTGGGTACCCATTCCCACCTGGGTGAAGTGAGGAAAATTCGTGTAAAGTGCCTTTTCCAAGGACACAACGTCCGGTCCCTGACGGGATTCGAACCCACGACCTTACGGTTGCGAGTCCGAGAGCCTAATCACTAGGCCACCGACGCCAATAAATGATGATGATGATGATGATGATGATGAGTAGTAGTAGTAGTAGTAGTAGTAGTAGTAGTAGTAGTAGTAGTAGTAGTAGTGGACTACTACTGTAGTACATCATGATGACAACTCCCCACCTTCCCAACGCTATTTCTTTTAAGATGTTCTTGACCAAAGATACTTTTTGTGTTCACCACACCGGTGGGTGGTTGGTAGGTGCTCTGGTGTAGTGTGCTTCTGCTCTTCTATTAAACATCTATCGTCCTTACGTCCCTCCATGTCTTTTTTGTGTGTATATTACTCTCTTGGAAAAAAGTATAATCTTCGACACTTATTTGTCCTTATCGTGTTGAAAATGCAGTACAATTCTTACTAAAACTAAATCACCACACCTGAAGACGCCTGAGCAAACGTCGTTCATCTTTCTGGACGTGGGCAGTCGAATGGAGCAGAGGTTTTTGCCTTAGCCTATATGTTTGGATGTGGTCACCATAACAGTAACAGCACCAAAGAGAAGGAGGAGAGACCAGGACGACCATATTTGATAGGAATAAGGAGCACACCACAGTAGAACACCCGCCAACCACCCTAATGAATAAGGCTTAACACATACAATTTTTGTCTAGCAGTTTAGGGAATCGGTTTCATACCGTCCGATCGCAATCAGAAAATCTTACTATGTGCATGCACGATGAACGGCAGTAACCTGTCTCTGTCTAACAAAATAGTATTCAAAGACAGACGTATAGGGTGACATTCCCCCCCCCCCCCCCCCACGGTCACACACACACACACACACACACACACACACACACACACACACACACACACACACACACACACACACACACACACACACACACACACACATCACACACACGCGCACACACACTCTCTCTCTCTCTCTCTCTCACACACACACACACACACACACAGTCACACACACACACACACACACACACACACACACGCGCGCACACACACACACACACACACACACACACACACACGCACACACTCACTCACACACTTCCGGCCATTGTCTAATCAAGCAGTTGTGCCACAAAGATGTCTACAGGAAAAAATTGTGTGCTAATTATATCTCCAGGCCAACAGTGATTGGTTTGTGAGCTATGGGGTAATTTCATTGTCCATAGTCACATGTATAGGTCATCTGTGCTTCCTCCCAATGTCTCTATTACAGTGGAAGATTTTCTCAAGGGATGATAGAGAGGTACGCAGTACGCGTAGAAATAGAGGAGAGTACGTGACAGAATAGTACCGAAATAAGCGCTTTGACGTCATCAGCAAAGGCTAGTTATCGTACGTCATCCCTTCCCGCCCTACCGTTCCCGTTTTACTCCACCACCCTCCCCTTTTTTTATTCCCTCTCCTCGTTTATCCCCCCCCCCCCCTCACCCCAAATTACACCAGATGATTACCGGAAGTTATTTGTATAACGGCAGGTCATGTGTGAGTATGCCGTTCCGGGTGGTAGGCAGAAACTTTTGTTAGGGTATTGAATCATAAAGTCATACCGAGGAAACCTGGATCAATCAGTAGTCTCTGCTTCGCTCAACCGTGGCTCTGAGCAATAAAATTGATTTCTGCCGACGACTGTGGGTAAACAGAAATCATTGAGCTATTCTTGACAATGCATGATGAACCGGTTGATCTTATCCAGAGCGTCCTTGAATTCGGATTATTTTATAGAACTCTTAATTTTAGTGAAAATCAGGAACGTTTAATTTCATCTATTTATAATTTTATAAGCCCACCTCTTTTATAGGAAAGGTCCTGCTTTGGTGAGTTGTGGCGTTTGTGATGACTGCAAGTTGTTTGCTATTGTCATCTCTACCTTTCTCTCTTTGCCCCTGTAATCTATTCGCGGTTGCGTGCTGGATCTATAATTTCTTTCTCCTTCACTCTTAAAGGTTGTCATCAATTTATGGTTGACGAATTATATGTATTATGTCATGACTGCTAGCTATTGCATCGTCCACCACCCCTTGTTGACTAGTGAGCGTGGAAGCGCAGTGGTGTGAGAGAGCAAAATAGAGCAGGGGTTATTATTAAGAAATTCGAGTTCATTGCCTTCATGACCTCAAAGTTCCTCCTTTTCTGGTTTTGATGACATTTCATCGGTTTAATAGTTGTTTTCGCTTTGTATTGGAGTTTTTGTTTTACGGGGCTAGAGAGAGAAAGGG